AGGAGACGTGGTAGGAGTGGTTTACAGCATATGGGTACACAAAAACAATAATAAAAAAACACCAGGTAACAAGCACAATTATATTCGTTCTAGCTGATCCAAAAACACACAAACAGCGTTGTACAAAGGCAATATTCATCGCAAAAAAATTAATAAATGAGCATCAGATACAAGGATCACAAAAATCTCGGAGTTTATTAAAGAAGGAGGACTCTGGTGATGCTGTTATTATATCGCCTGGCAGGGAGTTCCAGTCGTGAACAGTCCTTGGGAAAAAAGAGTACTTAAATGCATTAATCCGACAGTTGAATTCTTTGAGCGTTTTGCAATGACAACTTCGCATGGGATAATCTTGAGGTGCGAATGAAATATATTTAGAGATATCGATTTTGAACCGGCTGTTTAATAAATCAAATAGACACTTTATTCTCGTAAACATGCGTCTATGCTTTAGGAAGTTCACCCCAGAGAGGACGTACAGTTCAGAGACGGGATATTTTCGCTGAAATTTATTATGAATGAAGCGTAAACTTTTTCTTTGAACATTTTCGAGGACGTTTATGTTGGTACTTGTGAACGGATCCCAAACCACCGAAGCGTATTCTAGGATGGGTAATATGAAAGTGTTATAGGCTGTCAATTTAACGTCGGAAGAGGCATGTTTTAAATTTCGTCTTAAGTACCATATCTTGGATAGTGCTTTGCGCGCAGTAGACATGATATGAGTGTTCCAGCGTAGGTCATTCGATATAATGACACCCAAGCATTTATAAGAAGTAACTTCGGCTAGTGAAGTACTATTAATGGAATAATCAAAAGAAAGATGACTTAATTTATGAGTTATATGCATTCGAACACACTTATTGACATTCAATGACATCTGCCACGAGTCGCACCAGTGCGCCATCTTGGACAAGCAGGTGTTTAGTAGAATCTGGTCACTTATTTAATTGACTTCTGTAAATAAAACCACATCGTCTGCAAGCAGTCGAACACGTACTGGAATATTAGCGGCTAAATCGTTTATAAAAATTGAGAACAGTAATGGCCCCAGGACCGACCCTTGCGGAACACCCGATAAAACAGGGACTAATGATGATTCACTCGAGTTGATCTGTACATACTGCTTTCTGTCCTGTAAATATTAATTGGGTTGTGTGTGTGTTTATACAGCCTAGAACTTGGTCTGCCTCACAGGGGCGACGAGTCTCCCAGCTGTAGATGAGAAATTTAGGCAGTGCGGTACAGCCGCTAGCCTGGGGTCTTTAACGTGCATCACGCAGTAGTGATACACGACCGCACGCCGGTACGATGCTCATCCAGATCGAAACGGGCAGGGGTGGGGCTCGAACCCAGGATCCCTGGGTTCTGCAGCGCGAGCTTTCGCTCCACGTGCTCCGAGCTGGTGTGCGCTAGACCACTCGGCTTCTGTCCTGTAAGTAGTTCTGGAGCCAGCGAAAGATACCTTCGTTTTGAACAATTGATTTGAGTTTAAGGAGAAGTTCACTATGTGATACTCTATCAAAAGCTTTAGAAAGATCTAGGAATATGACGTCAATTTGTTTGGATCGATTCAGGATATTTGCGAAATCATGGACTGTGTCAAGTAACTGAGTCGTAGTAGAAAGGCCATGACGGAAACCATGTTGATTTGAAAAGAAAAAAGCATTTTTTTTCTAAGTAACTCGCGAGGTGTTTAAAAACAATATGTTCTAGCAGTTTCGAACAACGTGAGAAACATTTGTGTCCAATAAACAGATGTCAATCAAACAAGATATGTAAGAACCATATAAGAATTATATAAGGTATATACGAACATATGAAAACCATATGAGAAACTTTGAAGAAGTTTTTTATAAGTTTCTTATGTTGATCTTGTATGTCGTTATATACATTATATAGTTATTATAGGGTCCTTTTATGTTCTTATATATCTTGTGTGATTCATACGTGTTTATTGGACACAAGAAATTTCGCATACAAATGGATTTTTCACTAGGGCTGCTGTGACCGCCAGGCCTCTGTCAGTCGTCGGATGACCGCGCTCTGCCCCACAGCACCCTCACCGGCCTGCTTGCACATTGCGACACACTCACGGCCGCTGAACGGCACACCTCCCCATTCTAGTACACCATAGCCTCCTCTATACTGACAAAGCCTGGCAGATTCCCACGAGAAGCGGCCGCCGAAATGGAAAAGGTGGAGCAGCAGACAATTGGTGAGAGGAGAGCCGCGTGACTGGCGCCCGCTGCTGCGCGACGCCGAACACACACTTCTCCAGAGCAAACAAGTATGTTTCGGGTCCTCGCCGCTGCAAAAGCTGTGCGCTGACGTCCAGATTTCCCAAGAAATGACTCTGATGCTCTGTGCTACACCAGATCCTCGCGCTCCAAATTTGCGACTGGGCACTCTTTGGCTCCGTCGTCGAACTGCCGCGGTTTGTGAGTATAACCGCTCATTCACGCTGGAAGCCAATCCGCGCTCGCAAAGCAGTTGCGAACGCGGTGCTATAAAGATCCAGTGCAATTGCACGCGCACTCGATGGCATCAAGAGCGCGTGCAATTGTACTGGATCTTTATACAACCGCGTTCGCAACCGCATTGCGAACGCCGATCCGCTTCCAGTGTGAATGAGCGGTAACGGAGGCTATGAGTAGACCCTGCCTGAGGCAAGGTTCTGCCAACCTCCACGGTCGTTTCTTCCCAAACTTTTATCAAACAATTCCCTGGTTTTCCCAAGATGTTCAGGAAATGTGTTAATTTGCTTGAATGCTGAGATTATCGTTACGGAGCACCTTAAGAATAGAGTTATGTAGTTGGGTGGCCATTTAAAGGTTAAATTTGCTTCGTTAAAACCTTTTTACATAATTAAACTGCGTTACTTTGGCCTTGGGCGGTCCCCTAAATTCGCTCTTGTTCCGACTGGAGATTACCTCTGGTCCCTATAACATGCAAAGAAGCCTTTTTCCCGCTGCACTCGGCCGGCACGAGGAGGAAAAAGGGAAGGAACGTGTCTCTACAACCCACTGAGACCCAATTAAAGTCAATCCCTAGATTCGAACAAATTTCTCTTTGTCCCTAGAATATAATGCAACTCCCTAGATATAGGGAAAATCCTTAAGGTTTTCAGCACTGGCTCTGTCTCTACATGTCTTATTCTTTCGGGTTTTTCAAATTGCCGCAGAACGAAGGCGTGTTCGGGAACATAACCGGAAACTCTACGGTCTCCTTCTGCACTACACTGCGCAGGTGACAGGCAAGGCGGTGTAAAAGTTCAGAAGACGGCTACAATTTGTGTTATTTTTGATACAAAGGAGAGCTCATCTACTAAAATATTTACCAGTTCCTTCACTAGGAGTGAAAAAACTCCCGCAATTATTAGACCCAAGTCTCATAATCACCGTAACTCATGATTTACCAGACCTCTGCCCCTCTTCAAAAAGGCATTGCTTATTTTTTACTTCAAAAGATATGCATATATTACTTTGTTAAAAATTTAAATGTTTATTATATCAAACAATCTAAACACAACTCAAATTAAGCAAATATGGACTTCTAATAGATCGGTTTAGCCCACCAAGTAAGTACCCTATAACAATATGGCAAACTTCTCAGATCATTTTAGAAAGAACTTATTCCGAATTGAAACGTGATAAATAAGTTCAATTCGGGTAAGAAATCCACAGATTCTGAAATATTCTATTTTTAACAAAATATTTTCAAAATTGACTTTAACCGAAGAAGTGGAGACATAGCTATATTCCCTGTAAGTATTATAGACGGCAATCATACGGTAGTAGTCAATACTAATTAGAACCCTAGAACGTATACTTTTTAAGGCTATGCCCGACATTATTTTTTTTTTTGCATTAGGTTATATGAACCATTTTTGCAATACTTGAACTTGCAATCACCATAATATGCCGCCGTAATATTAGTCCAGAGGATGTTATAAGTGACTCGCAGCGTGCAACAAGAAGAAGCACATGCTTATTTTAAAACTTTTATATTCTTCAAGAATAAGTTGAACATCCCGCAGTCTCGCCTATGAGCGTTTTGTGCTTATGGCATGTTATACTTTCCCTATTTATAAAATTAAAACAAAGTGCTCGCATATTGTACGAATAGCCACGAAGGGGAATATAGTATTTTTCATAAAATACTGCTGCCAGAAAGTCATATAAACCCTAGTAAATTAATCTGATATGAATAAACATTTCTCTGTCAATTTAACGCATAGGATCAAATAAGATCATATAAAAGCATGAAAGAACTTTATAAGATCATATAAGGAAAATAGAATATTATCTAAGAAGTTAAAAGTAACTTCTTATCAGTTTGGTATAACTTCTTATATTATCTTATATTGCTTTTATGTACTCTCATAAGGTTCTCGTATGCTTTTCGCATCGATAACAACGACATGAAAAGATCAGTGAGAGAGACCATTAGGATAAAGACGTCTGCCGAATGCATCAGTCAAACATCCGTCCACTTAAGTTCAGACGCCGAAAATATTTTGCGGCTGACTGGTTTGAGGGAACCGGGATGACATCGGGGTGTCGCGGTGCGTGTGTGTTGACAGGAGATTTGTCGGCGGCTTTGTGACTGGTTTGGGAGCACCGGAGTGACCTCGGGATGTCGCTGTGTATGAGCGTTAACACAAGATTTGTCGGCAAATTCGAGTTGGCGACGTCTGAGCTTATTTTTGACTGGAATGTACGGGGGCCTGGGAAAAGGAAGAGTGAAGGGGTAAGGGGTTTCGGGAAGAGAAAAGAAAAAAGAGGGGGACAAAGGGTGGCGAGTGACATGTATGTTTGTCCTATGAAATAAAGTTTGTAGCTGCGTTTGAGACTTCGTCCGTGTCGTTGTGTGTTTGTCCCTGGTCCGCATCGCCAGTCTCGGGTTTACAACTCTGCTCAATTTACACCAGCTAGCCTGCACCCTCACCATTGCACCATTCTGATTCCCTTCGCGCTGACTCATCTATCAACTTCCAGGTGATTCAACGTCGGTCCAGATCTGAAGCCGAGAACAACTACTTCGAGAAAGACATCAAACATTACGAGAGTGGATTTAAAACACAGGGGGGAGCTTCGTGGATAGGCAAGTACAAATGTATAACTCCTTCTGTATTAGCATCCCAGAAAAGGCAACCCAAACCTGGAGCACAAAACAACTGCTTTTAAATGGCGACCTTAGAAATTGCAACGGTAGCGCGACAGCTTTTTGTGACAGGAATGACTGGTTCGGGGCAGTCGCTTCCGGACCAGTTTTTTTGGACCGGAGGCAGAGTCACTTGGTCCCTGAACTAGTCAGCAGCGCCTCGAACATCCGGCACTTCTGCGGCAGTTGCAACAAACATGCCTGTCATTTCGCGGCAACGTAACTAGATTTGCTATAACTAACGTTTGGTCGCTGTAAGGAGCATAAATAAAGAGCCACAGTGGTTTCTGTGGTAGCTCTGATCAGCGCTATTTAATAGTACTCATTTCTCTATAACAAGCAGCATCCATGTTTGAAGGAGCCCCCAAAAATAAACTCAATCTGACAGCCAATCCGTGGCTCATGACTTCACAGGTACGTATATTGTACCGCAAATAAAAAAAAAAAAAAGAAAAAAAACGCATCTCCACGTGGTGAATGATGTTGATTGGGGCGAAGCTTTGGTGGTGCGTGTCTGCGTAGACGCTGAGCCGCAGCATGCCGAGCCTTTCGTTCGTTTTCATCCATGTCACGCTGCGGTCAAATGCTCAAATGCGTAAATAACCACTTTCCATACCACACATTCTCTTTCTGACATGGATGAAAACGAACGAAAGGCTCGGCATGCTGCGGCTCAGCGTCTACGCAGACAAGCACCACCAGAGCTTCGCCCGAATCAACATCATCCACCACGTGGAGATGCGGTCGTTTTTTTTTTTGTCCTACACGAGCACGGGAGCACGTGCTCACGTGCTCGTGAGCACGTGAGCGCGTAAGCTCACGAGCAGGAGCACGAGCCCCCGACGCCGGACATCGGACGGACATACGGACATTTATTTTTATTTATTTATTTACATACCTCTAAAGGCTCCAAAGGAGCATTACATAGAGGGGGGTGTCGTATAAACTTTTACATAATCATACAATATTTTACAAGAAAAAATAGAAGACATCGTGTCACGCTAAACAGAACCATGAAGGGAAGACATTACATAACAAAAAAGCCACACACGCACTCATATCATTGGAGGCAGTCGACGTGCTAGAAAAAAAGCAATAGACCCAGCGAGCGAGTAACATACAGGGCAATATATGATTCATTCACCCTAAAGATTCACGCAATAACAACATAAATGTATCATGATCAGTGACCGTCGCAATTTCGCTTGCCAACTCATTCCATTCAGTCGCCGCTTGTACGAACGGGGAGTATTTGAACAGATTAGTTCTTGCAAATGGAATATGAACTTTGTAACAATGATCATGACGAGGGGAAATGCGAGCCGGTGGGAGAATGTTGTTTTGACGGAAATCTGAGGAACTATGATAGAGTTTATGAAAATGGGATAACCTTGCGAGGTATCTTCGCTGGTGGAGAGTCAATAAACCAAGTGAACTCTTAAGTTGACTGACGCTTATAGGTGAATACGTTTTTAGTATAAACCTGGTGGCCCTGTTTTGTAATGATTCTAAATTATTAATTAAATATTTTTGATGCGGGTTCCAAATTATAGCTGCATATTCCAACTTGGGCCTAATGAGGGTAGAGTATGCCAGTAGCTTCGTTTCTGCTGTTGCCATATATAAATGCCTTCTTAAGAAACCAAGTGACTGGTTAGCCCTCCTAAGGATATAATCTAGATGAGTGTTCCAGGAGAGGTTGGAAGTTAAGTGGACTCCTAAATATTTATATGTGGATACTTTATCCAATTTTGAATCTATAACTTTGTAGTCGTATTGAAAAGATGAGCGACGATTGGTAAATGTCATTATTTTTGTTTTATCTATATTTATCTGCATTTGCCACGTGTCACACCATGAAAGTATGATATCCAAATCACTTTGAAGGGCCTGGCAGTCGCTTTGACTAGATATTTGACGGTATACCACACAGTCGTCTGCAAATAGGCGAATCTGTGAAGAAATGTTGTTGAGGAGGTCATTTATATAAATTAAAAACAAAAGTGGTCCAATAACGAATCCTTGAGGGACACCAGATTTGACATGTATAGGTGGTGAGGTGATGTCATTTGCAAGTACTGATTGTTTTCTATCGTGCAAGAACTCACGAATCCATGTAATTACCTTATCATTAATTTTGAGATATTGTAGTTTTTTTTATCAGACGACTGTGTGGTACACGATCAAAGGCCTTCGAAAAGTCTATAAAAATAGCGTCGGTTTGTGAGGATGAGTGAATACAGGTATGCAAATCCGTTACCAGTTCAAACAGTTGGGTTTCACACGAAAGACCACGTTGAAAGCCGTGCTGATTGGGAAATAGCAGGTTGTTTGAGACTAAGTGTTTCATGACAGATGAATATATTATATGTTCTAAAAGTTTACAAAGAACACAGTTCAATGAAATTGGTCTATAATTTGTTGGGCAATTCCGATTACCAGATTTATAAATCTGCACGACATTTGCTGATTTCCATTCGTTCGGAATGTGGCCAGTATTAAGCGATTGCTGGAATAAGCTGGCAAGCACGGCACCTGATGCATCCTTAGTTAGTTTATGTAGCTTCGAGCATACACCATCAGGACCCGGGCTGGATTTTGTCGGCAAGCGGTTAATGGCACTGATAACACCATCAATATTGATTTGCACATCGTCCATTTCTGGAATGACGATTGTAGGTGTAACATGGCTAGCCCCTAAAGGTGTATCCACACGACGGACCAAATCGCTGTTTTGGTCCGCGGGCCGCGCATCACGTGATCTCACGTCATCGGTCTTTGAGGTCCGCCGGCGGTCCGCGGCCCGCGCTTCTGAGAAACGCCAAGCGACTTTTCTCGCCCTGACCTTGGCGGCGGACCGCAGGGTTTTTAGTATAATTGAAGCACTAAGTCTGGCAACAAGCTGACTTTTGTTGTTTGGATTGGAATCCAAACTCAAAGTCGTTTTATTTTAGCGCCAACTGTTGAAGACAAAGAAGAAAAACCTTTTGTTGTGCGGCGATGCAACTTGTTACTTCATCGCGCTCATTTAGCTGTTCCCCGCTCTGTGGGACAATAGTCGCGACGACTACTCAAATAATCATCTAAAGATGTCCCCATGCCTCTTTGGGTTCACTTAAGTCCTCCTCGTCCTCAATAGTCAACGCCAGGGCCACCGCGGTCGAACGTCTTTTTCGTTCAACCTCCATCTTGGCTCCTTACAAATAGCCTCAAAGCAGCTCGCTGCATGCGTTTGGCGGACCTGTGAGGTCGAGGGTTAGACCGGCCCGTTCACCCTGTCGTCTGCTCTTTTGGTCCGCCGTGTGGATGCTCATTGCAGCCGGGCGGCCCGCGGGCCGCGCATCACGTGATCAATCGGTCCGCGGCCCGGTCCGTCGTGTGGATACACCTTAAAGTGTATCCACACGATGGACCAGGCCGCGGACCGATTGATCACGTGACGCGAGGCCCGCGGGCCACCCGGCTGCAATGAGCATCCACACGGCGGACCAAAAGAGCAGACGACAGAGTGAACGTGCCGGTCTAACCCTCGACCTCACAGCTCTGCCAAACGCATGCAACCAGCTGCTTTGAGGCTATTTGTAAGGAACCAAAATGGAGGTTCAACGAAAAAGACTTTTGGCCGCGGTGGCCCTGGCGTTGACTATTGATGACGAGGAGGACTTAAGTGAACCGAAAAGGGCATGCATCTATTGTCCCACAGAGCGGGGAAATGCTCCACGAGCGCGATGAAGTAAAAAGTTCCATCGTCGCTCCATGCCGCCATCGTCGCACAACAAAAGGTTCGTCTTCTTCGTCTTCAACAGTTGGCGCCAAAAGAACACGACTTTGGATTTCGATTCCAATCTAAACAACAAAAGTCAGCTTGTTGCCAGACTTAGCACTTCAATTATACTAAAAACGCCGCGGTCCGCCGCCAAGGTCCGGGCGAGAAAAGCGCTTGGCATTTCTCAGAAGCGCGGGCCGCGGACCGCCGGCGGACCTCGAAAAGCGGTGACGTAAGATCACGTGATGCGCGGCCCGCGGACCAAAACAGCAATTTGGTCCGTCGTGTGGATACACCTTAACAAGAACGAGCTCCTAGCTTCGCTCGTGCGAGCTAAACCATCAATCTGGGACCAGAGATCTATGAACGCGGACCTCCGCTGGAGTGCTTGGAAGTTGGATCTCCTGGGCGGAGCCGAACGGATTGTTGTGTCGCTTGCAAGGTCGGAAGCGTGTGCGTGTGTCTCAATTCGGAGCGGCGTTCGGACTGTCGGATCGGACGATTCTGCCGTCCATTTGTCTCGCGCTTTAAAAGAACATCAGACCCCGCTTTGCGGGCATACAAATGGCATCTAAGTCAAAGGCCTTTGGGCGGTCTCACTTGTAATTTTCTCCCCATGGCCCAGAATATATTTAACATGTTGCTCGAGCAGAGTGCAGCTTTTTCGCTGAGACGTTTTTGTTTAGAAACAAAGTTGAAAAAAACCTCTTAATTTATTCAAATCATCAGCAGCGTTGATTGTGCGAGATGTAAATATACTGCAATGCTCCTGCAAGTGTGGTGGCATTTCTTCCTTTTCATATACCATCTGTGATTCATGCACTGTCTGCCCTGGAAACCATGCTCGGAATGTTGGTTGAAGTTTCGCCTGCAGCTACAGACCATACCTCAATAAGGCCGCATATAATAATACGCATTTCCTACGTAAAATGTGCACAAAAAAACAAAAAAAAAACGAAAGTAATATGCCGACAGCTAACGCCGTCTCGGCCTTTGTAGGGCGAGTGAGGGGGTAAATTTTGTCATCAGCAGGACGTCACCCCGGCTCGCTGTAAAAGGTCGCCTCCCAAACTTCTCGGTGCTAATACTCTCACCATACAATGCACCTGTTATTTGTTTGGCCCCTGGTCATGAAATCATTCTCAGTTTGCCATTCCATCTCACCGAGAGCCCG